GCCCAGCGGGGGTCGCGAGGGCTGGCCGCAGGTGGGGTTCTCGGGGGACGCCCGGAACCTCGGCGTCGAGCGTCGCGTTCCGGCTGCGCTTTGTGACGCCGCGCACGCTCCCGCGTCCATCCTTCCCCGCCCGGCGGCGGAGGCCGCGGGGCTTGGCGCCAGCGGGGCACAGCCCTCGAGGGCTGCGACCTTGGGACCTTGAGCCGCCGTTCTGCCGCGAGGTCGTGGGTCTCCGCCCTGAGACGCCGGTTTTGAGCCCGGCCAAAATAAACAGAAGCTCGCCTCCATTTTTTGATTATGTCAGAAAACAGCGAAGTCTCGCGGTTTTTGAATGTAGACCAGCGAAGTGTTCTGGGACCCTCCGGATCTCGAGGGGAGGGGCATCTAGGAATGCGGGGGTGCCTATTAAATAGTAATTATAACAATAAGGTTAGACTCTGAGCCAGGTTGCCGTGGCGTGTGGAGCGCTGTCTTTGAAGCTAGTGCTCGCCCCGCAGGAAATGGGCTTGTTTTCCGCAGTGACTTGCTTCTCGTCGAACTTGGTCCTGCTTCCTTTCTGGTCGGTGGTAACAGAAGGGAACTCTGCACCGACGCATTCCGTGTCTGTAGTGTTTCCTTAACACCTGCAGATGGACGATAGCCGGGAGGCGGAGTGGAAATGTGCCTGTCTACCGCTACCGCGCCAAACCGCTACCTCTTAGAGCTGTTTCTTTTCCTTGCGATTTTCTACCTTACGGGATCCAGAATTACAACATACACGATTACTATCAACTTGCTTATTGTTAACATTTCCAATTCCAGGTATTTGTGTTCTCTAACATAAATACTAATAAGGTGACCAATCCATATTAATAATGGAATGTGAAATTAACATTTTAAAATTTCCATAAATGGAGATTTTGATTTAAAAAATACTTGAATCAGAATAATCTAGCAAAATAAGATGAGGATAAGAAAAAACGCCATGTAATCTATATACCTGCTAGAACAATTAATATCCAGCTATTACATGAAAACAATACTGCCTACTTGCCTGCCCTGCCAAAACAGGTACAAAGAAGTTTGAGATTTTGCTTGTATGTAGCTATTCATTTCTACTTATCACAGTTGCCGAAATTTTAAAGATGTGAAACGATTGCTAAAATCTGACTATTTAAATGATGGAGAGGGGACCACAGGATGTGTGGTGCTTAAGGCGCTGAACTCCCTCATGGCCCATCAAGGTTTGAGTCCTGGACCTGGCAACTTGCCTTCTCACTTTCTTTCCCTCTCTGGTCAACTTAAAAAATAATAAAAATAAACAAAGAATTCCCCCCCTCCCCCAGCCGTCAGGATCAAACTATTTAGCAATCAACAACATGGGTGCCAAAAAAAAACATTAAAAAATTTTGTTGGTATGCTTTACGCTTTCCACAGAACAGAAACTGAAATAACCTGTTATACAACTAGTCACAAATACAGGCCTGGTATTTTTTGCCCAGACACCTGAGTATTGTCTAAAACATCTTCTTTGTAGCAGCTAGGCCCTGCCACCACTGTGCTTGGCTGAGTTCACAAATCTGTAACCCGGTAGCTTCTCTGTCACTTGTCTGGCTCTCCTCTCCTGCTAAGCTTTGTTTCCTGGTGGTTAATTAAAACCTGCCACTGCCATAGCTACTGCTGCTGCTGGAGCTGACATAGCCGCCTTGATTTCATGGTTTAGCAAAGTATTGACCTCCACCACCGTATGGGCCAGAGCTTCTATCTACAAAATTTACACCCTTCATGGGTCCAAAATTTGAAGACTGATTGTTACAATTGCCAAAATCATCCTTGCTTCCACTACCTCCAAAATTGCTTCCATGATTACCAAATCCAATTATAGCCATCCCCACTTCCACTGTATCCACTCCCACGATGGCTGCCACCAAAGCCACGACCACTGAAGTTCCCTTCACAAGCAAAGTTGTCATTACCACCAAAATCACTGCCGAAGTTTCCAGAACTACTTCGACCTCTTGGGCTGGAGGAAGCACTAGCCTTTTCTTGTTTAGACAGGGCTTTCCTTACTTCACAGTTGTGGCCATGTCCACTATGGTATTTCTGAATGACAGTCTTATCCACAGAGTCATGATCATCGAAGGTTACAAAAGCAAAGCCCCTGTTCTTGCCACTGCCGCAGTCATGATTTCAATCACTTCGATATTCCCATACTGTTTAAAATATCTCTTACGTGATGTTCTTCAGTGTCTTCTTAAATGCCACCCATAAAGATCTTGGGGCACCCAGTCTTTGAGAATCTTCTCTTGAGACAGCCCTCTTTGGTTTCATAATTCTTCCATCCACCTTGTGTGGTTGCATCCACCTCCTCCCCAGTAGTGTATGTGACAAACCCAAAGCCCTTCAAGTGCTTGGTGTTTGGATCTCGCATCACTGCGTAGTCCGTGAGCATTCCCCATTGCTCAAGATGACTCCTTGGCTCTCTGGTTGTTTCAAAGCTCCACCCTCTAATAAAGGGTTTCCGCAGCTGTCCGGCTCTTAGCTTTTTGGGAGACTCCAATTTAGACCTGTTGGCAATGGGAAGAGAGACTTTAATGGTGATTCCCCAGCGGTGTCCACAGGCAGAAAGGAGTAAGCTAACAAATATAGCCATCTCAACAAACAATTCTTTAAAAAAATAAAAATAGGGACCAGCAGGTGGCATGGTAGTTAAGGCGCTGGACTCCCACATAGCCAACCATGGTTCGAGTTCCGAAACTGGAGGCTTCCTTTCTCACTTTGTCTCTCGCTCTCTGTCTCTCTCTGGTGAGCACACATGTGCCCTGTAGAAATTTTTTTTAAAAAAGTAATTCTTTAAAATAAAAATAAAAGCAATTTTATGGTTTCTTCTTTTATGAATTCTTTGGCAATGAGGCCATAGCAAGCAAAAGGATATATGATTACATACCTAGATAACATTCATTAATTTTTTTCTGATTTTTCCAGAGGGCGAGCGTACCCGCTGGAGAGAGAGACAAAGAAGGAAAGGGAAAGCGCTCTCCCCACGGGAATTGTTATACCACCAAGGACAGTTTTCTCCACTGTCCTTTGAGGATTTGGCACGCACACACACCTGCCGGTCTGTTTCTCAAGCATACGTCTAGGTCTCATGCTGCAGAGTTGGCCACGTGGGATCCAGCTGCCTTGCCACCATGCCATGGGCCTATCCAATATTCATGAATTTTAAAAAAGTTTCTCACTTTTTTTTCTTATTGCCCTGTAGCCTTCAAGTCACAGGCTTCATTGCATTCAAGGGAGAGCAAATAGAGCTTAAACGTCAAAATAACTTTTTAAAATATTGGATCTTTGGGTAAGTCATGATGCGTTTTTGTATAGAAAAATATGTCATTCATGACTTTCCCGACAACCTAATATAGTGAAAACAATATAGTCTGAAACCGAGAGTACTTTTTTAAAAGAAGTTTATTCCATGGGGGTGTGGGGAAGACAGAGAGGCCCCGCCAACAGCGTCTTCATGCCGTGTCTACCTCCAGACTTCCCAGCCTGGGTTATGGGCACATGTGGGTACCCAGGAAGTGCAGGGAGATGCCTGGACCTGAACTGCAGACCTTCCCTTGTGGGTTCAGCCTTGCGTTACTGCCATACCACCACTTTGGCCCTGAAGTACTTTTTATTTGCAAAATCCAGGTGCTCAAGAGAAAAAATATGTGTACTTTTCTTTTAGTTCTTAAAAAGTTGACATTTCATATAAAGATTCAGGGCATAGACCATACTCCAAACAGAGTAATTATATATATATATA